GTCTCTGAAGGACCTTGCCAGCTCCATAGCCCCTCACAGGGCCAGCTGAGGCCTTCACTGTGATCGTGTGGCAGCCCAGCTTTCCCTGCTGCCCAGACCTACTTCCTTTGCTCCCCTACAGGAGCTGGTCCTAAGGGCACGCCCCTCCCTCCTGCCCTCCGTACATTTCTGGCATGCTGATATCCATGTCAGAGTCCACTTCCTGGGGAAGCCAACCTGAGACACCACCTCATCCACGTCTGAGGACTCCACTCCAAGCACATGCTAGCAGCTCCCAGATCAATATCTTTGTCCCGACTTCTGCTAAGCACCAGATGCGGACGAGTATTTCAGATTCAGTGTGGGAAACAAAGCCACAACGTTCCAAGGAGGACCACCTTGCTCTTGTCTTTCATAGTTCGGTGAGGCTGGAGTGCAGCTCCTAGCTCTCTGCATCCTTGAGCCCCTGGGCTCAAGCAATCTTCTCACCTCAGCCTTCCAAGTAGCTAAGATGACAACTGCAGCACCACCACACCCAGATAACTTTTTTTATTTTTTTGTGGACATAGGGCCCAACTGGCTGTCTCCCTTCACTGCCCCTGGGCTGTGAGCATCATAGGGACAGGGTTGTGGCTTTGTTCTCTGGGTCCTCTGGAGCCCAGCACAGAGGAGCGGATTGGGGAGCATGCATGTGCAGTTGCTTCTGGAGGGCAGATTTCAAAAAAGTGTAGGGAAAGAGATAGGAGTTTTTAAAATTTCTTTTTAATAGCAGATTCTAAAAAGAGGGCAGGCTCAGGTGGGCTGGGAGACCCTGCACTAAAACTTGGAGTATGGATTGCAGGTGAACCCAGTGAAGAAAAGGGGGAAAGTGTCTAAAGGCTGCAGAGGCTACACCTGGAGCTCGTGCATGATCTCAGGTTTTGAAAGACATGGAAGACAGAAGGGTACCAAAGCAAGGCAAGTGGACGAGTGGCATGGATCAATGCTAATATGGCTGGGAAATGCTAAGAGCCATAAAAGGGGCTTCTGTGTAGTTATTTTCGAAGCAAGAAGTGCTGTTTTGGGCTGACAGTATAATGTTAACACTGAAGAAGTGAGAGCAGCACCACATGATTTCTATTTTGCGTCTGTCTTCTTGCTGGGAATAGTTTTCACCTGAAATCCAATATTGGTCAGAGGGAGTTAAAGCCTAAGGTAGTGCAGGAGGCCATGTGACGGCACCTCACTGTGCAGATGAGGTTCAATGCCCCACCCCAGGGGTAGGAGTATGTCCCACCCCTGCTGAGAAACATGCATATGGGTGCCTTGACTCCATGGGGACCTGTGGAGGTGGAGGGTTTTTGGGAGATGGGGTGATGGTGCTTGATGTGTCCCTTAATCCCCCAGGGCATGGTTTGTGAGCACATATTTAGAAAAGGAAGCACTGGTTTCTAGGAGTCCTAAGACTAAATTAGGCCAGGTGCGGTGGCTCACGCCTGTAATCCCAGCACCTTGGAGGCTGAGAAGGGAAGATCACTTCAGGCCAGGAGCTCCAGACCAGCTGGGCAACATAGTGAGACCCCATCTCTACAAAAAATAGAATAAAATAATTAGGCATGGTGGTGTATGCCTGTCATCCTAGCTATTTGTGACTCCGAAGGAGGAAGATTGCTTGAGCCCAGGAGTTTGAGGCTGCAGTGAGTTATGATCATGCCATGGCACTCTATCCTAGGCAACACAGCAAGACCTTACCTCTTATAAATAAATAAATAATAACAGGTTGGCCTCATTTATTTTTTGACAGGTCAACCAGAACTACTCTCTGGAGAGCATTGTGGAGTACATGTATCTAGGCTTTAGTAGGGCATTTGGTAGAGGCTGTCATCTCATCCTAGGGACAATGTGAAGGAACGTGGGCTGAATGATGGTAGAATGAGGTGATCTGGCTATCAGAGTGCACCCGGAGGGCAGGCCCCTGTGGCACTGGAGTTCCGTCTTCACTGACAGGTTGGCCAGGGCAGAACCAGTGTTTTGGATGAGGCCATTAATGGAACAATGCTCAAATTCACAGATGACATGAATACAACTGACAGCAGACTGAAGATCCCAGAAGATCTCAACAGACCGTAATGATGGGCTGAGAGAAAAGAGAAGCCCAGCTGCACAATTAAGAACAGGATCTGGGAAATGGGATTTGACAGCAAGACGTGTGAAAAAAAAGACTTTGGGCTCAATCTGTTAACTGCGTCGAGTTGTGGGGCTGCCAAGAAAATGAGCATCAGCCTCAGCTCCGAGCATCTCACTTGACAGGGAACATTGACAACCCTGGGCCTTCAGAGGACCCGAACCAAAATGGCAATTCAATTCTAAAAGATGGGAACATGGTTGTTCCAGCAGAAGGGGCAGCCAGGGGAAGGCAGCAGCTTCCTTCACTGGTCAGAAGGCTCCCTCCTGGGGCCCCCAGAGTACAGGATCCAGAAGCTTTGGGTGGAAGTCCCAGAAGAACAGATTTTGGCAAAATGTGGGAACAGCTTCCTTTGGTTAGTTCCAATAATTGAACTGGGCGTCTTGGCAGAGATACTGCACTTCCTTTGCTGAAATGAACACTTGTTAGGGGTGTGGCAAAGGGAATTAAATGGATAACTATGCAGACATTTGGTGACTTAGGTGTTTTCTAAGCCTGAGGTTGTGCGATCCTATAATACAAAGAAAGAGATATTAGGCAGGTCTGCAGCTTTGTAAGAACAAAAGAAAAAAAGAAGAAGAAAGATAAGAATGCAAGGTGGGTTATGATTGTCTACATGTACCTTTTTATTTACTTAAACATGCAAGAAAGGACACATATCATAGATGGACACTCGGTACTTTGCAGACACCATCTGTGTACCCCTTGACCATGGAACAGAGTGTCAGTGGCTCCCTGGAAGACCCTCTGCAGAGGCAGCGGCTTCCGTGACTTTCATCATAAGCACTCACTTGCCTGTCTGCACATTTGTATATTAATATTAATAGCTTCCTTAGCACAGCGTTTGGTTTGTGGGATTCCTCCCTGTTGATGTGAGTGGTTGTGGACAGTCCCCTTGCGTGGTGACTCTGTGGCTGGTACATCCCGCTGCCTCCCCCTGTGCACGCTGTACGCCAAACATGTATGTGAATGACCAGTCTGGTGGCCATGGGCTTGTCACCAGGGAGGTCACACCAGCTTCCAAGCTCAGGCCCTGGCCCTTCCTGCCTGGGTAGCACTTATGTGTGAGATAGAGGAGTCCAAGTGAAGGACTGAGGAGCGGGTGGTGTGACAGGCAGTGGATGGATGAGAGGGGCCGTGGACAGCCCCAGGGATGCAAGCCGGGCAGAGCCCTGGGCAGGGTGTCAGGCAGCATTTCCCCAGCGGAACAGACCACTTCTGTTGCTTCCTGAGCTGCCCTAGAGACGTGGAAAAGGCAGCTCATGCCTTTGGCCAGATGCCTAACAGCCTTTTAGGGCAGTGCAGCCTTGGCAGGGCCCAGTTCCCCTCCAAGGGAGCGAAGACACGGGGATCCAGAGGGGCTGCACTGACCCGTGTCATCACCATGACATCCCAGCAGCCCACATGGCCTTTGCCTTTGCCTGCCTCCCTGGGTGCCCCTGCAGGGTGCCTGCCCAGCTGCACTTGGAGGGGGCTGGGAGGCAGAGCCTGCATTCCTCTTCCCGCCTCTGTGCGATGGGTTTGGAAAAGTCATTTCCAAATTTCCCAGTGCCTTAGGCTCCTTTGAGTGCTAATCCAGTGTCCTGGTCTTACAGAGGCCCTGGTGGGGTGGAGGGGGCGGAGGCGGAGGCTGGCCTGGCCTGGCCTGGCCTGGTGTGAGCGCCAGGACTGGAGCCTGCTGCCTTATATGACAGTGGCTGAGATGGCTCCAGTGGCTTCCCAATCCTCCTTTGCCTGCCTGGTTTGAGTTCTGAGGAGACTTTGCCAGGTGGGGTTAGGCCTCTTCTGGGGGACGGAGAGCCCACAGCCAGCCGCAGTGGGCTCCTCTGCTTGCCCTCTGCAGTTGGGCTGGGGTTTGGGGGGAGGCTTTGCTTTTTCCCCTTTGAGGAGTATGTCCTCAGTCTGTAAAATAAAAAAGTGGTGCCACCACCCCCACTGCACCCCAGCTGGAACTGAGAATGCAGGACTGTGTTTAAAAGGCAGGGAGGGCCGACAGGATGAAAGGCCGTGGGCAGGGAGGGGGCTTGCCACTCTCAGATGTGGGTTTCTTTTCATCCATTCACCCCCTTGCTGCTTTTTCTGGTGCTTTTCTGTTTCTGGATTACAGCCCCGTCCTGACCCACCCTGCCTGCCTCTTCCCTTCTGGAACTACCCCCAGCACTGCTCTGTTGGCTCCCTGCACCCCCAGCTCGGCCCCTCCCTGCCTGCTGTGCGTAGAGGAGCTCCCGGTGCAGGCCTCAGTTTGGATTAATGAAGCCCAGATGCAGGACTTCTGACTCTGGCTGTGGAGCAGCCCAGCTCAGAGGGGCTGTTTACCTCCCACAGTGCTCCTGGCCAGCTGTTGTTGGGCTCCTGCAAACAGCTGGAAAGCCAGTCGGCAGAGGCCTGGCTGGAGGGGAATGGGGAGAAAACTGAAGGTTGGGGCAAAGGTGTGGCCTGTACCCATGGGGTCTGGTGTGGGGGCTATGAGTCAGGGAGAGCGGAGGATGAGGGGCTTCTGCTTGCTGTCACATGGTTCAGTCCAGATGGGGGATTGCCTCTCCTCAGCACCCTAGTCCAGGGCACTGGGGAAGGCTGAGTGGGCACACGGTAGCCCTCTGCAGAGAGTCGTCAAGACTAAAGGGAGAGGACTTGGTGGCTCACACCTGCAATCCCAGCACTCTGGGAGGTTAAGGCCGGAGGATCGCTTCAGCCCAGGAGTCTGAAGTTGCAGTGAGCTGTGAAACCCAGTGGAGGTGTTCATCCCTGAAGCAGAGAGATCTGCCACATCCTGAGTCAGTTAGGACTGCTCCCACCTTCAAGCCCACCTCTCTGTCAGATTGTCATGCCCTCTCAGGCTTTGTCACTCCTCTCTCAGGCAGCTTCGGAGCCAGCTCAGCCTTGTGGTCATTGCGCGAATGTTGGGCCAGCAAGAGACGCTCCCTCTCTGGCAAGAGAAGACCCAGGTGAGTCTTTGCCTTAGCTGGGGCAGGGAGGCCTGTGGGTGGGCAAAGCTCCCTCCCCATAGCCTGCTCACCCCTGAGGCTCTCCTGAAGCGTAGGAGTCTCGGGCCTGGAGAGCTAAGCTGGGTTTGAGTTTTCTACATATGCTCTTTCATTTATTAGTTACTGTCTGCATGCTGACCATGAGCTAGGAGCAGCGTGCTGGGAGCCTTTAGTACTTTTTAAAAAATTGTAAAATACATATAACATAAAATTTACTATTTCAACTTCCTTTTTAACCATCTTAACTTTTTTGTGGGTTATTTTTGTTGTTGTTGTTTTTAGAGACAGTCTTGCTCTGTCACCCAGGCTGGAGTGCAGTGGCATTATCATAGCTCACTGCAGCCTCAAATTCCTGGGCTCAAGTGATCCTCCCACCTCAGCCTCCCAAACAACTGGGACTAGCCATGCTTGGCTAGTTGTTAAATTTTTTGTAGTGACAGGATCTCACTATGTTGCCCAGTCTGTTCTCAAACTCCTGGCCTGAAGCCATCTTCCTGCCTCCACCTCCTAAAGTGCTGCGATTACAGGTGTGAGCCACCACTCCTGGCCCTTAACTATTTTTAGGTGTAGAGTTCCAATCATTTTTAAGTGTATAATTCAGGGGCCTTAAGTACATTCACATTGTTGTGCAGCCATCACCTCCATCCATCTCCAGAACTTTATTTTCTTCCCAAGATGAGACTGCATACCCATTAAACACTAACTCTCCACTCTTCACTCCCTCCCAGTCCCTGGTTATATTGCTTTTTATACGTGCAAAAACAATAAAGATGAAAACAAATACTATTAAATTAAAACTACTCCCTCCAGTGTCCCTTTGGTCCCAGAGTTAGGCATCCTTGGGGCAGCAGGGATGTTGGAGTTCTGTCTTCCTTCTCTATTCCTCTTCTCTCCAAAAAGCTCTGACTGCAACCCCTTGGCAGCTCAGAGGCCATCACTTCAGGGGCCCTGTGGGCAATGCGGGTCACTGCCAGCCCGAGGATGGATGCTGGGGATGTCCTTACCTCCTGAGAAATCTCCCTGGAATCCCAGAGAGTTGCTCTGGGAATTCCTCTGGGGAATCTCTCTGGGAATCCTAGAGAGCCGAACTCTCCAGCTCAGCAACACTAGAGGGGCAAGGTGCCCTGGGCGGAAGGCAGTGTGCATCTCTAGTCGCTGGAGGTATGCAAGGTGAGCCTGCATAGCCCCTTGCCCAGAATGCTGGGAGAATGTTCTGGCACATACCTAGGAGAGGTCGGACAATGACTGGAGGGCGAGAGCTCAGAGAGGTGACCAATTAAGTTGTCAGAGTGGCTTTGGCCTTGCTTTTGCTCCAGTGGCCCCGTTTGCCTTGAATGCTTTCCCCCTAGGACTTAGCATGGCTGGAGCTTCCTGTCATTCCAACTCCAGCTGAAATGTCACCTCTTCAAGGAGGCCGTCCTGACCACCCAACCTGAAGTGCCCCAGCACTATCACTCCATCTTAAATTGCACATGGCAGTCACCTCCTGGTGTTTTCCTATTTGTTCAGCATCTGTGTTCTCCACCCTTCACCCTTCTCCCCCAGAAGAACATAGCCCTGGAGAACAGGGCGCAGATGCTTTCTGCTCCCCACTGCCTTTCAGCGCCGAGCAGTGCCCGGCACCAGCAGGAAGGCAGTACACGCTTGTGGAAGGAACAGACACCGAAGGTGGATTGTTGGGACACATGGGGGAGAATGCACCACAAGCCAAGCCCTTGGGAGGGGTGGTGAGGCAGTGGCCTGCACTGAGGTCACTTTACAGATGGTCCCTGTGAGGAAGGGAGAGCAAAAGGACCAAATGATGTCATGAGGGACACCCAGCAGTTAAAGGCAGGGCAGCAGAGATGCAATATTGGGAGCACAAGACAGAGGGACCCTGAGGGCTCTGGAAGGCAGGCATTGGTGTTGGCCAGAGGGGTGCTGAGCTCTGAGGAGCACAGCACAGTGCACAGTGGGGGGTGAGAGGGAGGATGGGAAGCAGTGGCAGTGGGGCAGTCCCCCAGGAGCAGCATTGGCAGTGACCTGAAAGAGAGAGAGTTCCTTGAGTATTGGGGCCAATTCAAGGCTTGGGGGTTTGCTTTGATTTGTTTACACCAGGCCAGAGCCCCTGCAGGGAGAACGAGGGGAGCATGGCAGGGCTGTGTTCCTGCTGGAGGCCAGAGTGGCCGAGGGGAAGTGTCAGGAGTACAGGCTGGGTCGTGTGGGCCTGGAGGGAACTGCAAGGAGACAAGTGAAAAGGGCATGTTGGTGGCACCACCTCCCCCACCTCCCAAGGGGCTGGGACCTCCTGGACCAGCTCCAGCCCAGCCTTTGCAGTTCCCAGCCCCTGAAGGCTCTTACACACCCCATTAGGCCCCCTCGCCTCACACCCATGTGCTGCGTGTGCGTTAGGCACTAGCTGAGTAGCCTGTGTACCAGGCTCTGCACCAGGCGCCGACAGACACTGGGGAGACAGCACCCAGACGACCTCAGAAGAGAGGGGTGAGCAAGCTGGCCACAGCCACAGTGACTAACGCTGCCCGGGGACAGTAAGGCGGCTTCTAGAGAAGACGACCTGAGCCAGGCCTTGGAGGATGAGTCAGTGCTTGTTCTGCAGAAAGCAGAGAGGGAGTGAGAGGTGCATGGCGGCTGGAGGGATAGGAAGGACCAGCAGGGGCCTGCCCGTGGCCTTCCTGATGTACTTCCCCATCTCACTGCAAGCCCAGGGCTGCTCGCAGCCTCCTCCCAGGTCTCTGGGCTGCCAGGCACTCCCCTTTCCGGTCTGGCCTGTCAGACTGATCCTGAAACACGCCTTCAAAGGGCCACCTCGGCCCCACAGGGCCAGCTCAGCCCACATGCCCCCTTCCCAACTTCTCAACACACCTGCCCAGTGCTGCCTGCCCTCCTTGCCCTCCTTGCAGGCCAGCCCAGCCTGCCCTCTGCACGCAGCCCTGCTGTGCACTGGCCTTCTCTTCCTTTCCACCTGTCACACCCACCTGCAATAGTGGTGGCTACCACGAGCACAGCACTCACTATGTCCCAGATTCTGTTCTTGTCTTTGCCCCTTGTAGCAGCCCTAGGCTGTCAGGACTGTTGCTATCATCCATACTTTACAGATGGGGAAACTGAGGCAAGGGCACTTCTCAGGGTCACCTAGCCAGTAAGTAGTGAAGCTGGGAGTCAAGTCTTGCCCTTGACCACTGCAGTGTGCTGTCTCAGCCTCTCCAGCCCCTTGCTTGGCTCTTGGCAACCTGGACCACACCTGCCATGTCACAGTGAAGATGCCCTGCTGGCCCTTGGAACTTAGTCCTAGATCACAGACAGGAGGACAAAGGCTGTCCCTTCCTCTCCCTGATTGATGCACAAGTGCTCGATAAATCTTATCAGTTGATTCACTGTGAAGAGGGGTGCAAGGGTTAAGAATCTACTTGTGTAGGAGCAGAGGACTTGGAGTTAGCTCAGGGCAGAGCAATTAGCAAGGCACCATGGGCAAGAGGCATTCCAATGGCCAAATTGCTTGGCTCTGCCTCTCCCACAAGTGGTAGTCTGAAGCCCCAGGAGTAGGAGCAGACACTGGGGAACTGAACTTCTGCAGGTGGTCAGGATGCTACAATGCCAAAGCTTGCATTTTCCAGGAGAGCCCCGGGGGCAGGCAGTGTGTCCTGGTATTCCTGGGAATCCTAGTGGCCCCATGTCCCAGTGGGCACTGAAGATAATGCAGAACAAAACTGACTTCCTCCTCTGGAAATTCACAGCCCAGAGTGAGGCAGACACAGGCATCAAGGAGAAAGTCACTTTTTTGAATACCTAATAGTGATAAGTGCTGTGGAGAAGAATAAAGCTGATGAAAGGAGAAAATAAGGGTGAACTGAGAATGGGACAGTTAAGCATAGACCTGAAGGAGTCAGGTAGGTTTCTTGGCAAAGAACATTCCAGGTAGAGGGAATAGCAAGTGCAAAGGCCCTGGGGCATGCAAAGGCCTTTTAGGTTGGAGGGAAAACAGAGGCCAGTGTGGCTGGAGCAGAGGGCTGAGAATGAAATAGTAGGAGTTGAGGTCAGAAGGGTAAGTGGAGCCTTAGTCAGCCAGAGCCTCAAGGCCGTAGTGAAGATTTTGACTTTTATGCTGAAGTGGAAAGCCACTGGAAGGTTTCGAGCAGAGGAGAAGCAAAACCTGATTTGTAAACATTTTAAAAATGACTCTGGCTGCTGTGTTGAGAATAGACCATGGAGAATGGAGAGGAAGGAGGCAATTGCAGTAATCCTGGCGAGAGACAATGGCAGTTTGGCCTGGGGAGACAGCAGCGTAGGCGGTGAGACGTGGTCAGACTGTAGGTGCATTTCCCAAGTACAGCCAGTGGGACGTGCATGGGAGAAAGAGGAGACAAGGACTCCAAGGTCTGTGCGACTGGCAGATGGAGACGCCCTTTACCGAGCGAGGCAAGACACAAGTGGAGCAGGTTTGGGGAGGAAATCAGGAGTTTGTTTCTTATCCCAGGCCACCTCTTGCAACACAGCAAACCTCTTTTGTCAAACCATGTCTCCCTTTGGGGTTTGGAAAACACAGGCTTCAAGTGGCTGAAATCAAGGGGGATAAAGGTTTGCATCTACTAGGAAAAGGTAGCTGCAGTCCTGGCTATTCATTTACTCACTCATTTAACACACGCTTATTAATATACACCATTGCTGGGCACGGTGCCAGCTTATGGAACATTGCAGTGGCCAGAACTGCCCTCAGAGAGCACACATCCAGTGAGGGAAGGGGCACAGCTGATAAATAAGCATGGAGTAAATTGCAAAGGCAGTTAGAAGGTGATAAATGCCATGGAAAGAAGTGCAGGGTACGGGCATTGGCAAGTGCGGGCTGCAGGTGGAGACAGGGAGCTCAGATGGGCCTGGAGCAAGGCTGGAATGGAAGGAGGAGAGGAGCAGCCTTGCAGTGTCTGGTCAGAAGGCCCAGTCAGGGCACCAGCTCCAGGAAGTAGCAGAAAGGTCACTAGGACCACTTGGGGCCTCGCAGACACTTAAGATCTTGGCTTCCTCCCCTGGGTGAATAGGAGCTGCTGCCAGGATTTGAGCACAGGAGCTACATGCTGTGTGGACAGGTGTCTTTCTGGAAATCAGCCTCAGCCACTGCTTGTGGGCCTCTGACAGGGCTGACCTGTCTTGCTGGGTGATGATTTGCTTCTTGCCTTAGGTGTCTGCCCTAATGGGCTGAGGGTTTGCAGTGCCGGCTCCCAGCAATGGTGTGGGGGTGGGGAGGGTGCTGGACTGGCCTCAGCCTCACTGGGACCCACGAGGCCCAAGCAAACCCTTATCCTGGAGAGGGATTTGTCTGTGATAGAGATGCTAGCTGGAGTGTCCTGGGCTGGAAACAAAAGAAAATAAGCAATCAGAAGGCACAATGGCAGAGGCAGGTCACAGGGGCAGCCACTTGCTGCACTAAGTACAGCAAAGCTGTTTTTGTGGAGAGGAGAAACACAAGAGCAAGTGAGCAGCAAGCGGCTGTTGTGGGCAACCCTGCCCAGCCCAGCCCCGCCCAGGCCTCCTGTAGCAGGGAGGGTCCCAGCCAGGCAAGGCCGCCCCAGGGCCACTCTAGGGGTGTGGGCTGCAGGGCCTGGCCCCTGTGCTTGCACAGCTGTGAGCCCTGAGCAGGCAGGGCTTTTTGGAAACAATCTCCATTGTGAAGCCTGAGCAAGGCAGCACAGCTATGGTTTTGCTAAAGCCCCAAATGATGCCTCTCTTCACCCAGAACCTTCCTCCTCTTTCTCCATCTCCTCTCCCCTTCCAAAGGGATCAGACAGTAGGCCAAGAAGCCCTGGCTTCCTTCCAGAAGCCAAGGCCCCAGGTCTGACTCCTACCCCTAGCCCAGCTGCTCTTGTGGGCTAAGCTCGTGGCCGGCTGAGGTGCCGAGCAGGTGTTAGCGGCGGGTGAGTCACGGGAGGAAGCCAGGTGTGCCAGCCAGGCTAGGCTCAAGCAGGGATCTGAGCCAGGGGACTGGGGCCCCTAGCCCATGGCCACCCTGCACCCGCGAGATCTTAAAAGATGGTGCCTCTGCGAGCTACCTCGTATCTTCCCTGACCGCCCCGTGCAGCTGGGCAGCCCTTGCCGGGGCTCAAATTGATCACATGGGCTGGGCCTGAGGGAGTGGCTAGCTGTAGACACCTGGACTTATGCAGGTCACGTTCCCTCCCAAGCCTATTTGTTCAGTGGGGTTGGGCAATTTCTTCAAAAACTAAACGGGAGGGTGGGGCAGCTAGTGGATGAAGTGACATGTCAAGCACATGCAGTGTGCGGGCCTTGTGGGGCATCTGCATCTGCACAGACCAACTGGAAAAGGACATTTTTGAGACAGAACAAACTGAACACAGGTGTTGGATAGTGATAAGAGATTCTTAGTAATTTTGTTGGGCAAGAAATGGTATTGTGAATATGTTGGGGGGAAAAATCCTTATCCTTTTCTGTTAGAAGCTCTTTATGGGTAAAATGATACGATGTTTGTACCTGCTTTAAAATTCTCTGGAAGGAAAAAGGGCAGGGAAGGGATAGAGAGGAGGTGAGTGATGAAACAGGCAAGGCCAAATGATGATGGTGTGGTCATCGCTCATAATGATGGGCAAGGGGGTACTTAGCACATGGTCTGTCCTCTTCATGTATGTTGAATGTCTCCACAGTGAAGAGTTAATGAGAGGAGAGACACACAGGGGAGAGCAGGCTGCAGGCATAGTGGCAGCTCAGATGGGCAGGGTCCTCTGCGTGTGAGACCCTTCTCTTCTGGGAAGTGGGCATGTGGTCCATTTTACAGATGAGAACTCAGGCTCTGGGAGATCACACTGCTCATTTTTTATTTCATTCTATTAGTAGTATTTATTTTGAGACAAGAATTTTGCTCTGTCACCCAGGGCTAGAGTGCCATGGTGTCAGCCTAGCTCACAGCAACCTCAAACTCCTAGGCTCAAGCGATCCTCCTGCCTCAGCCTCCCGAGTAGCCGGGACTACAGGCATGCGCCACCATGCCCAGCTAATTTCTTCTATTTTTAGTTGTTTGGCTAATTTCTTTCTATTTTTTTTTTTTTTTTTTTTTTTTTTTAGTAGAGATGCTGTCTCGCTCTTGCTCTCAGGCTGGTCTCAAACTCCTGAGCTCAAGCAATCCTCCCACCTCGGCCTCCCAGAGTGCTAGGATTACAGGCGTGAGCCACCGCGCCCGGCCCACACAGCTCATAAGTGAGGTGGATCCAGGTCTTAGAGGCAATTGCTCTGACCCACTGCCACCAGCTGAGGTGTCTGGGCTGAGAGTCCCCGGAGCACCCTGAGCTCTCAGCTGCCACCCCCTGTGAGTGACAGCCTTCCTTCTTCTCCCTAGCTGTCCTCACTCAGCCAGCTCCTGAGCCTCATGAGGCCATCATCCCTCGGGCAGTACCTGGGCTCTGATTCCCTGCCACCCTGCCAGAAACAACAGCCAAAGGCCAATGCCGAGCTAGACTACAAGGTGAGCACCCAGCACTGCCTACCTCCCCAGGGCGTTGCCACCACAGGCAGCGGGGGAAGGCAGGACCGTCCACACTGCACAGCCTGTGGGTCCTTATGGCTGCCGGGACAGAGACCTCCAGGCTGTCTCTCCATGTTGAGAGGAGGTGCTTTTCATCTCCCATGGCCTATAATTAGTGCCCTTGCACGGACCGCCCACACAGGTTCCGGGGGCTGCTGTGTGCATGGGCGTGCGGGCAGGACGGCTGTCTGGCCCTGCCCGTGCGCCCACTGCAGCCTTCATAGCTTGGCATGGCTTTGTGAGCTGTGGGGTTCTCTGGGGCTCGCTGTTATTCTGACAGCACAGTTTCGGGAGGGTGCAGAGCTGAAATACTGGCACGGGGAAGGCGGAGGGGAGCATTCAGAGGAGAAGTGCAGGGGATGTCTGGATGTGAGGGGTGTCCTTTCTCCTGGGAGACAGAGCTAGGCCCAGCTGTCCTGTTCTTTTTCACTATGGTTGTCACTGAGGCTGAGTCCTTGGCCTGTCCCCAGTTCTTCCTAATTGACTTTCCAGACATTGCCCTTCTTTCCTGAAAGCCAAGCTTTGGCCAGAGTCAGGGGCAAAGAGGTACCCACAGCCTGGAGGTTGTGGGATTTAGAACAGTGAGGCCTGTGGGGTCCCTGGAGCGAATGTCAGAGCAGGGGTGGTGGTGGGTATGGGGGCTTCAGAGTAGTATCACAGGCCCAGCTCCCTGGGGAGCAGGGGGTAGCTCTCAGTGAGCTCTCCTATCCCTGGGGACTCGGGGATGAAGAATGGCGATAGAGATCATCCTAATTTAGGAGGGTGGTAATTCCAACACTTCCTTCAGAGGTTGGACGTTGATAATCCGGGAGTCCAACCTGTGGGCACCACTCTGCAAATCAGATAAATGAATTAATTACTTAATGAACACAAATGAACCATTAAGAAGATATGCTAACCCCCAGGTGCCTGCTCCTCTTCTGGAACATGTAGTGAAGGTTATCTTTCAGTTGTGCCTAATATTAGTGCATTTATGAGGCTGCTGCCTCCCGGGAGAGTGTGAACTATCTGCAGCTCCTTCTTCTCTGCCAAGTATTTCCCAGGAAACTGGAGCTGGTGGGGGGTGTGCTCTGGAGTTGACATGGGGCAGCCCCTTGGGGTGTCTGAGCAGGTCTGTGGTGGTAAGAGAGAAAAGAAGAGGCATATGTCTGGTCTGGCCTTGAAGAGGGAGGCTTCTCGGCGCCTTGGGGGACAGTCCTCGACCTCACCTAGCAGAGGTGTGGTCATGCCAGGCTCACCAGGTTTTAGAGTCTTCTGGCCGCAGAAAATGTGCGTTCTACGGCCAGGGAGGAGGACGAATGAGTGGGCTGAGGGTATCCTTTATTTTGAGGACTGTCCCCATACACATAAAGGAAGGTTAAAAGCAGCCCTTGGACAGCTGCCATATTGGAAATGACTGTTTGGCCTGAAAACATGGAGGGGCCAGCACGTCCCAGCAGAGTGACCCAAAAGTGTTGGGTGTGACAGTCCTGGGAGGTATAGGGGGGCAAGCGAGGCCAAGGCAGCTTTCAGAACACCTTTCCTGCAGCCTGGGGCTCCCCCTGACCTCAGCCTCCCTCCAGTGAGGTGCCCAAGGGCAGAGGAGGCTGCACAGGTGCAGAAAAGTGTGAAATGGCCTCATTATGTCCCCTGGGCTGAGTACTGTTCTGACTGGGAGGGGTCAGGCGGGGCAGGTGACTGGGCCTCGCTCCCTCCTCACCCCAACCGACTGACTCCTCGTTAGGCCTGAGCATGTTTCATCTTCAAAGAGGATGGCTGGGCTACTCACCAGCCAGAAAGAGCAGCGGCGTCATCCACCCTGTTTTACAGGGAGCGGTGGTCTGGACCCTGGCTGAGCCTTTCATCCCCAGAGCTCAAAGTCTTCGCCTTTTTCCCCCTCCAGTGCAGTGGGGAAACTGAGGCCAAAGTAAGGTTGGCCTGGGGTGACCCAACCTGGAGGAAATGGCTACTTTCCCAGCCCTCAGGGCTACTTGTGCAAAGCCTTTTGACGCCTGCCCATCCCCCAGGCCCAGCTCACTGCCGTCTGGGAGATTTCCTGCCCTGCACTGCAGGGTCACAGCCCTCCTCCAGCCCTGCAGACAAACACTTCTGCCAGGCTCCTCTGTCCTCACCCCCCTCCTCCTGTCTCTGCCTCATGCCTTGGCCCAGGCTTCTCCTTCCTTCTTAGTGGCTGGGAGAGCCGCTCCCTGGTACCCAGGACAGAATTTTCCTCTTCACCAATTCCATGGCTTCACAATCTTCCCTTTACTTGCCTGGCTGTCCAGCTAGACCGTGGGCACAGCTGGTATTTCTCAGCACTGCAGCATATCTTTGGCACTAGATGAACAAATGAATGCATCCCATTTTAAATTCCTCTCTCCCTCTCTGAACTCCCTTCTTCCACCCTGTTCTGGCCATCCACTCTCCTGTCCCCATTCTGGAAACCTCCCTCTCCCTGCAAGTCATCTGACCAGCCTCTGAGTGACAGCCCCCTGGGCTTCTGCTGTTGGAGGCCCTGGACTTCATAAGTGTTACCTGTGTGTGAGAGAGTCAATCCCAGCACATTGTTTGTAATTATAAGCTAGTGAGGTTCCTGCTGAGAAAGCTAAGCACCAAAAACTTTAACAAAAGAAGCAACAAGCTCCTGCTACAGCACTGCAGGTGGGGGGGGGGGCAGCTGGAGAGGAAGCTGTTTGTCCCAGCTTGGTCAAAGTCCTAGCTTAGCAAATCATGGCAGAGTTCACGTGGAATATAAGAGCTTCTTATGATATCCTGCTTAACAAGCTAAGTTTTAATAGACTACTTTCAGCAGTTTAAAGAGCTTTTGGATAAAGAAAATGGTTGCCCAGTGCCTTGGTAGCTATGGACCACCCTGTGCATGCCTGGTTTGAGCTGCACTCTCCCAGAGAAGGATAAACATCTGGGTTCGAGTGATGGTTGGGGGTCTGGTACAGCACAGCAAGGAGCAGGTGCCCTGTTTGGCAGGGCGAGGTGGAAGAGGGTGTTTTCATACAGGAGGGTCTAATGCTCAGAGTTGGCCTCCCTTGGGCCTATGGATACTCACCCATCCTGCAAGAGCCATTGTCTTGACTGCCTTCCAAGGCCTCTCTTTGTCAGACTGTCCTTCTGGGCCCAGGCAGACAAATGTTGCATAACTTAATTCAGCTTGCCACTATCTCCTCAAAACTACCAGCTCAGCCCTCCAACCCAGAACCAGGGGCTTCCTGGGCATTTTGTTTTCTTTCAGCTGACTTGCATAAACCATATCCGGCCAGATGTTATCTAGTTGTGTTCTGTCCAGTCTTGGTCATGCCCATTCACTTGTATTGAGATTATTGACATCTGGGTCTTCCCAAACCTGCCATCGCACATGGTACTCATACTTACCATGTTTTCCTGTTGTTTCTTGCTTTCCCCAGGCCTTTTACTATACCAGTGCTATATTGATGGAAGTTTTTAAATTCTGTTTTTCTTCTTAGAGATTTATAAAGTATATAGAACTAGTATCTTTTTTTTTTTTTTTTATACAGAGTCTCGCTTTGTTGCCCAGGCTAGAGTGAGTGCCGTGGCGTCAGCCTAGCTCACAGCAACCTCAAACTCCTGGGCTCGAGTGATCCTTCTGCCTCAGCCTCCCGAGTAGCTGGGACTACAGGCATGCGCCACTATGCCCGGCTAATTTTTTTTATATATATATATATCAGTTGGCCAATTAATTTCTTTCTGTTTATAGTAGAGACGGGGTCTCGCTCTTGCTCAGGCTGGTTTTGAACTCCTGACCTTGAGCAATCCGCCTGCCTCGGCCTCCCAAGAGCTAGGATTACAGGCGTGAGCCACAGCGCTCGGCCTTAGAACTAGTATCTTTAAGGTGGGATGGAATTTTTTCCTTAGTTGGTTAAATGTGGGAACTGCGAGGAAATTAACTGTCTCCCATTGTCTGTAAAGAAAACTAAGGACCACAAAGGAGGAAGTCCCAAAGTTGAGGCAGAATTCACGGACCAGCGGCCTGGTTCCTAGCTCCCCACATGCCTCCTGGCCGTGTCCTCCTCCCAGCCTGGTGATGTTCTTAAGAAACAACCTGGGGCTTTCTGAGGGTTCTGCTTCTATGGCTTTCCTGGAGGGAGCACCACCCAGACCAAGCTGGAGCTGACTGCAGGTGGCTCCAGCCAGCTTCCTGGAGGGGCTCTGTGCTCCTGCAGCCTGGGGATGGCTTGTTTACTGGAGAAGTGAATTTGCAAAGAGTTGATTTTGCTGGGGGAGGGTGTGTGCTCCTGAGTTTGGGTAATACTCTGGGGTGAACTCAGCCCAACTGCGCCGACTCCACTGAGGTCACTCTGAGTGTCTCTGCTCATCTTGTGCCATGTGTTTGTGTGCAGGTGCATCATGTGCATCTCCCGTATATCCTGTGGTGTGCCGAGTGTGTCCATAGAGTTGGCAAACAAGTTTTACTGCTTTTGCTCTGGCTGCTGGGATTGCAGCTGTCTGTCCCTGTGCCCAGTAACCCTGCCAAGAGCTGCCTTAATAGAGGTTGTGGTAGGGAGAGGCCTGGCTCCTGCTGTAGGGGCAGGGCAGGGAGGGTGCCAGTGCCCTCTGGCAGCTCTGCACTTGCCTCTGCCCTCTCTCACTGGCACTCTTAGCCCCAGCAAGGGACATGTGTTCCCTCAGGCACAGGCCACTTTCCCTGTGTCACGCTGAAAGGCAGGTGGAGCCTCTGCTCCCCACCACCATGCTCTCTGCCGTCTAACCTGGAAGTGCCTGTGCTTTCCTGCCTGCCTTTCAGGGAGTACACTGCCCCACGGTCAGGCCAAGGTCAGAAGGGTTAGAAGGAAACTGCTTTTGAGGAACAGAAAATGGATATTCAGGACTCTTGAGTTCCTCCCCTGGCTAGTCTGTGGTTGGTTCTATCTTACTTCCTCCAGTGAGAAGCATCAGACATCTTCTAAAATAAACCTCAAAGAGGTGGC